TTCTAAAAACAAAAGAATCAGAAGTAGCAAGGCGGCTCGGCCAGTAAAAGCCTACCAGCAAGCCCAGCCACCTGAGTTCAGTCTCTGAGGCCCACAGGGTAGAAGGAGAGCTCCGACTTCCACAAGGTGTCCTCTGTCCTCTTCATGTGGGCCAGGGCATGTGCATGGCCCTCCCTGACAAACAAATACACAAATAAAGACATTTAGTGAAAATCGGGTTTTTTTGTTGTTTTTGTTTTTTAAATATTTTATTTATTATTTTTATTTTATGTGTACGAGTGTATTGCCTGCATGTATGTGAGCGCACCCGTATCATGCAGTGCCGCGGAGGTCAGAAGTGGGTGTCGGATTCCCCTGGAACTGGAGTTAATGATGGTTCGTAGCCACCATGTGGGTGCTGGGAATCGAACCCAGGTCCTCTGCAAGAGCAGTCAGTGCTCTTAACTGCTGAGCCAACTCTCTAGCTCCGTGAAAAACGTTTTTAAAAAACAGTTGTTTCTCCAAAGGGAGTTTGAGCTCCTTTTTAGAAATTATTATTTTAACATTTATCTATTGTGGGACAGAGTGCACAGGAGGAGGTCAAAGGACAACTTCTGTGAGACTTAGGGACTGAAGTGGGTTGTCAGGCTTGGAGGCAAGTGTTTTCACCTGTTGTGTCATCTTGTTAGCCCTGGTTTTGAGCTCTTTCTGATGAGAAACTAACCCCAGAATCTTCTGTCATTGCTCAGTGCTCTGTCTAGTACAAGGGACTGAGGGATGAATGACAAGTTCGAGGTGTTCTTGCTCTCTCTCTCTCTCTCTCTCTCTCCCTCCCTCTCTGTTTCTCTTTCTGTCCTCTTTATTTTATTTTATTTTATTTTATTTACTTTTCTCGTCTTTTTGAGACAGGGTCTTCCTGTAGCCCCAGCTGTCCTGGAACTCACTATGTAGACCAGGTTGGCCTTGAACTCACAGAGATCCACCTGCCTCTGCCTCCCAAGTGCTGGGACTACAGGCGTGTGCCACCATGCCCGGCTTGCTTTTATTTTTTTTAACTTTTGCAAATTTTATACTCTGTGTGTGTATTTGGTCTTTTTGTTGTTTTTTGACAGGGTCTCCCTAGTCACAGCCCACCTGGAAGTTGCAATGTGAATCAGGGTGGCCTTGATCTCACAGAGATCCACCTGCCTCTGCCTCCCAAGGGCTGGAATTAAAGGTGCATGCCACCACACCCGGCGTTCATACAATATATTTTTATCATAATTAGATCCCTTCCCATGTCTGCATCCCCCTTTCTAACCTCCAGCCAAATTTTTATATATATATATATACATACACATACACACACACACACACACACACACACACACACACACACACACACACATATGCCTGTGTAGTCAAGTTTGTTTCCTCAAATGTCCTTCAGTGTGGGTTCACCCACTGGAGCCTGGTCAACCTACTAAGAGCCTCACCCTTAAACCTGACTGAATTTCCCTTTTCCAATAGTCATTGGTTACCAATAGTGCTCAGTTAAGGTTGGTATCTCTTAACCAATTCCTCATCAGAAGAGGGCTTTGGAGTCCCCTGGAACTGGAGTTAAGGATGGTTTGTAGCCACCATGTGGGTGCTGGGACTCAAACCCAGGCCCTCTGCAAGAGCGGTCGGTGCTCTTAACTGCTGAGCCATCCATCTCTCCAGTCCTATTTTTTAATTTTTTAAAAATTTATTTTATTTTATGTATATGAGTGTTTTGCCTGCATGTAGGTAAGTACATCCGTGTTGTGCAATGCCCGAGGAAGACAGAAGAGGGTATGGTATCCTCTGAAACTGGAGGTGTGGACCATTGTTAGCTGCCATGTGGGCTCTGGGATTTGAACCCAAGTCTTCTGCAAGGACAGCTGGTGCTCTTAACCGTTGAGCCATCTCTCTAGCCCCTCTTGTTTTATTTTTGTTTTTGTTTTGAGACAGGATTTCAGGTAACCCAGGCTGGTCTTTGCCTCCTGAGTTCCGAGATTACAGGTCTACACTACCATGTTCAGTCAAGCATTTTCTCTCTCTCTGTGTCTCTCTGTCTCTGTCTGTCTCTCTCTTTTTGAGATAAGGTCTTACTATGTATCCCTAGCTAAGCTAGAACTCCATATGTAAACCAGGCTGACCTCAATCTCACAGAGATCCACCTGCCTCTGCAAAGGAGTTCTGGATTAAGGGAGTGCACTACTACCATGCCGGCCCATGTGACTATTCTAAATTCTAATTAAAATTTAAAATTCACTTCCTCAGTTGCATTAGTCACATTTCAAGGGTTCAATAACCTTATGTGTCTGGTGCTGGTCACACTGAAAGGGCAGGTACAGGACATTTCCATCCAAACAGAAAGTTCTGGGACCTCTGGTAGGCTGGAGAGGACAGGAGGAAGGGCGTGATGAACCAGGAAAACAGCAGCACAGACTGAAATCTGCTGTGGAAACTTTTTTCCTACGGTACGGTGCTGAGGATGAAACTCAGGGCTTACCGCAGGCTCAGCAAGCGCTGCACTGTACCACTGAGCTACATCCCCAACACTTGTTGATTTAGAGTCAACAGCCCTCTCATTGGCTAGCGTATCACACCGCCCATTCAGGAGTGTAGAAACCACTTCCTAAGAAATCTCTGAAGAAAGGGAAACGTGTTACTGATCACATCCATGACCCTCACTTCTATGAAAGGGAAGCCCAGAACATGAAGGGGAACTGTGGCTACTAAGTTCACTTTCATTGGTCTTATGGAAACCACCAGTCCAGGGTGCTCTGCACCATGATCTCACCAGTTCGCCCAGCTTCCCTGCAGGTCACTGGTGTGTCTTGGATGTAAGACTGAAGGTTATGGGTTGGTTGAATGTGGTGGCTGGTCCCATACTCAACAGGTTGACTATGAAATGTGTACCCAACTAAGAGTAGTGGGCATGGACATGGCCGGGCTTGGTGGAGCACACCTTTAATTCCAGCACTTGGGAGGCAGAAGCAGGCATATCTCTGTGAGATCAAGGCCAGCCTGGTCTACATAGTGACTTCCAGGTCAGCCACAGCTACACAGTGAGAAATCTTGTATCAAATTAAAAAAGGGAGGGGGGTGCTGGAGAAATGGCTCAGTGGTTAAGAGCACTTGCTGCCCTTGCAGAAGACCCAGGTTTAGTTCCCAGCATGCACATGGTGGCTGACAACAGATAGGGTGCCTCCTTTAGCTTCTGAAGGCACCAGGCACACATGTGGTGCACTCACACATGCCCAGAAAATAAAAATATGTCTCTAAAAATAAATTAATAAGGGGCTGACTGCTCTTCCAGAGGACCTGGGTTTGGTTCACATGGTAGCTAACAACCACTTAAAATACCAGTTCCAGGGGATCCACAGGCACTACATGTACATACATACATGTAACAAAACACTCATACACAAGATAAAAATAAAATATTAAAAAAAAAATAAATAAATAAATTTTAAAGACTTTATAACCTCAGTAAGAGAAAATAAGAGATAAATGTATAACATCTGCATAACTACTGTTAGATAAAAGCCAAGCAGGCAATAGTCACAGAAAACATAGGAGGACTCTGGCAAAGCAAAGTTTATTTCTTAGGATCACTGGTGGCTGGCAGCTCAGCTGGGGAGAGAAAGGCAACCAGTGGCCTTGTGACTGCTGAGGAAGTTCTTATGGGAGGTTGGGGAATGTGGAAGGTGGCAAAATAATCTTTACAGTTCCAAGGGAAGTAGCTTGAACTGAGACAGCTCTTACATCAGTGGGTCTGGGTGCAGGGGCCTGTTCATCTAAAATTATCTGGGGAACAGCTTTGTGCTGAGACTGCTCTAAATGTCTGGCCAGTTCCTGTTTTGCAAGAGGGCCCTCAGGGCCTGTCTTGTGAGGTTTTTATTGCACTACAGCTTCCTCTGCAGACCTGGACTCTAACATTCCAGTCTTTTGTGTTATAGGATAAGGGGTGGTGTTTCTCATCTGGCTACTTCCTGCTGGTCAGGGTCGATGTGGGGAAGGGAAGGCTGGGGTCAGGGTCCTGTCAGGCAGCAGGGTTCTCCAGCTCATTCATCTAGACAAAGTCCTCAGTGGTCGACAGGCATTCATACACATGTGGGGGAAAGGAAAGTAACAGTTGGTTAAAGCTGGTATGAGTCAGGTGTTGAATCCTGAAAATATCCGAAGAGGCAGGCAGTGATGGTTAGCAGTAGAGTAATAGAAAGCAGGGGGCTGAGTAAGGGAGAAGCCAGTGAGTCAGTCCTGAAAAGATATCCCATTGGGGTGACTACTGGTACTGGGAAGTTCTAAGTGAGATCCTTGGCCACCTGTTGGAGGTGTTTTATATTATGCTCGACCTTACCCAATTGGTTGACGTAGTAACAGCATTCCTCGCCCAAGACAATGCAGGTACCCCTTTTTCCTGCGGTTAATAGGTCCAGGACTCACCTGTTCTAGAGGGCAACTTTGGCAAGGGAGGACAGTTGCTGTTGCAAGATCTGGATTGACTGGGATGTTGCTTCCACCACCATAGTGAGCTCCTGCTTGAGGTCCTGGATCTCCTGAGCGAGGTGTTAGGCTGAGAGCAAGGTATGTCCCAGACTCCCTGCTGCGAATCCTGTGGTGGCTACGGATGATACCAGGCTGATTCCCACCAGGACAGCTACACTAGCTGATTTTTTTGCTCTGCTCCTTTTTGTTTCTGTGGAGAGAGAATCATGGGGTTTATAGGGTTAATCTCGGTATGAGGACGACTGGAATGCAGGTATCCTTGACTGGTGGGGAGATACAGGTATATAAGTTGGAGCAGTAAAGGAAAAGCAGTCCTGGGGCGAGACCAGTATTGCCCTGGTTGTAACATTGTGGGTGGAGGAGTGGGGGCAGTTAGAGACTTGGGGGGCCCAGCACTCTGATTTATTAAGAAAAGGGGATTGTGCCACTGGGTTTAAGGAACACTGGGTATTGTTTTGACTGGTGACATTATAAACTGGAAGAGGAATCAGGAGTGAGCCCTGTAGAGGGGCACAGAGGAAGCAGGTAGATGTACTGAAGTTAGAGAAGTCCTTTAGGAGTGTCAGAGAGAGAGAGAACCCAGTCCCAGGAGAAGCTGCAGGAGGCATTAAAATGTTGGCGTGATTAGAATCACAGCATGGTCTTCCTCCCAAATGATCTCTAGATAGGGAGAGAGAAGAAATTTAGCCATCATTTAATTTTTGGATAAGAGTAGGGTTTTTCTTCTGGTTGTAGGTAGGGACTTTAGAGTTGATTAAACCAGGATTTGAAGTCTGACACCTGAGTAGCATTTCTTATTAAGAACAAAATCATCAGTGAGACATTGTCTAAAGAACATCTTATACAAACTTAAGCCTAATGTCTGGGACATTCAATCCTTTGAACTTTTAAAGAAATCTTTGGTTATACTTTAATCTTTGGTTATACTTTCCTTTTGGGTGTCTAAGACCATACAGTTGGCCCAAATAAACCAATTCATTTTTACTCTTTAAGGTCGTTTAAGGATCTGTTCCTCAGGGGTCACATGGGCTTGGGAGGAGCCCCTGGCTCCTTTATTTTACCAGTTCTGCCTATGTGAAGATAAGTCAAAGGTCCTGATCGACCATGGCTAGCTTCACTTGGAAGCAAGGAAGTAATGTTTCCTCTGTGTTGACCCTCCTCTTTGAAGACTGGACACTGATTCAAGTCCATCTGGTGGAGTATCCATGGCCTCCTTGATCAAGAGGACAGGTGACACACCACAGTTACAGGACATTTTGAGAGATACTCCATAGTCCCCTGGAACTTAGTTGACCTAGGAGGGCAAGGAACAAAAACTGTCCCTTTAAGTCCTTCTGACCAGATTAGTATAGGCCTCAAAGTCTGTTAAACACCCAAGAAGGTTAGTTACACCAATCTGGTACTTTAAATTACCATGTGCTATGTAGATAAAGCTTGGGAAAAACCCAAACATTCTCAGATAAACTTTTACTAGAGATCCTTAAACTAGTTGACTAAGCTATGACCTTGGCCTGGGGATACTAAGCAAGGCTTACCCCCTTCTAAGGCTCTAGCATCAAACTAATGTTTGGTTACATTAAAGTTTTCCTGGAGAAACAATGAGTTCACTGAGCTTACTTACAGAGATGACTGAGGGGTTGCTGAGGTGTAGGAGTGACCTGAGTGTATTTGCATTGGATGTTGACTTTTTTATAACCTCACGGGTCAAGCTCTCCCTTTGCAGCCTTTGCCTTCCCAAGATTATATACTACAGTCCTTTTCAAATGTAGGCGATCATTTGCAATTAGGGCAGAATTACGTACAGGTGGCTGAGAAGAATGGCTGAATCTCACCTGAGAGGTGAGGGTCCAGTGACCCTGCTTACCCCTTCTTTAATGAAGGGACATAAATGTCAACAGGCCCAATTGTGATGATTTTTAGTAAGGAGACACAGCTGAAGTCATGAAGATGGCAGTTATTTGACTTAGGAGTGATGTGCAGCAGCATCTTATAAACGAACATGGAATCCAAATTATATACATAATGTAATTAAGTTAATATTAACCATTTACAAACTGTGCTTTATAAGTTTTCAGATAAACCTTATAGAAAACATAAAACCATTAATAATCTTTGTTATTTTATGTAGTTTAGAGAATGGTTTACCAAAAACTTGCTTTGGGTTTTGAAGAAATGTAAACACTGGGTAGAGAAAAGTAATTGGTACATTAAACATTATCAAATTGAAGTTCACAACCTTTAGCATAATCACTTAAGGAAAACTGTGCTATAACCCTCTTCAGACTTAAATAAACTTTCTAAATCTCTCAAAATATTGAAATTTAGGGTTCCTGTGTCTGGCCAGAAAGAGTCATTGTCTAGTTTGTACTGGGGCCAGGCAGTAGTGCACAGAAACTTCAGGTGCTTAGGTCTAATTGTATCTGAAAGTCCTAGTTGCTTTAGGGAGTTGAGGAGATAAGAGGTGCAAGACCCTCAGGTTTAGACCTAGCAGTCCCCATAGTGACAGACTGTATATGGAGTGTAGAGGAGATAGAGAAGGAACTGAGCAAGTATGTAGGAGGAGACAATGAGGACCCTCTCTCCACGGGGAGCGGAGGCAGGGGTGACAGCGAGGATTCTGGGCAGGAAAGCACAGGATACAAAGAAGAAAAGGATGGGAGGGAAGAGGAGGGGGAGAGGCACAGACCTTAGGTTGTGCCAGATGAGAACGAGAACATGCAGAACCAATCGCCAAGGAAGGCGTCCCTTCCCAGGAAAGGCCTGAGAATGATTTTTTCCAGTCCCTGGAGGCAGCGTCCTGTGATCAGATCACCAGGGAGGGAAAGAGTGAGTTCCTGGACAGGAAGGCGGGCGTGTTCCTTTCCCTGGGAACAGCATCCTGTAATCAGAGAAGGAAAGAGCCTTCTGACACACCGGTGTGATTTTTCAAGCCAAGGAGTTGAGCGGAAAGCCCTGCAATGAGAGTGTGGCACAACCAGCCAGTAGAGGAAGACAGAGAACAAGAACATGGATGGGAAGAGAGACGTGGAGAGTGAGGAAGAAGGGGAATGGGAGAGTCAAGAGAAGAGAGAGAGAGAGAGAGAGAGAGAGAGAGAGAGAGATTTTGAGATTCAATGGAAGCTGAGGGAAAAGGAGCCCGAGGAGGGTGGGAGCAAGAGAAAAAGCTCTGAATCTTGGAACATGAGAAAGCAAAAATGAAGGGGAGGTGTGAGGAGTGAGGAAAGAGGGAGGGAGAGAGAGAGAGAGGAGAGAGAGAGAGAGAGAGAGAGAGAGAGAGACCAGCCCCAGTGAGAGGTTGTAAGAGCAAAGGAGAAGGGTGGAAACTTCCAGAGTCTGCCTTTCCCGTCACCCGGTCTTAGGACCCGTCCTTCGGACATGCCTCAGGTCAAGCCCATGCCTTTGTGGGGTTGGCTTTCTTTTGAAGTTACAGAGAGTATAAGTAGAACAAGGGAGAAAGAGAGAGAGTTTGAGAGCGACAGGTGGGGATGAGGAAAGATGGAGAGAGAGGTACTTAAAATTAATTTATATATTTTAGTACCAGGAACCATGTTGTAGATAAGGATTAAAGAGGGAATATTTTGACCTGAAAAAACAGTTTGTGCTAATTTAACATTTTTAGTTTGTATGAGATTTTATTTAAAAGTTAATATGATACCAAGTAAATTAATTTTAAGAAACATAAATTCATGTTGATTATGTATACATATCTATATATAAGATAGATTTTAATAAGTAAGATTTTGTAATTATTTGTTAAGAATGTGGTTTATTATTTTTAAACCAAAACACCATTGAAGTAGATAAATAAAATGAATATACCTTAAAACACCTTGAAAGTAAACTAAAACCATAAAAGGTATTTAACAAATAGGATTTTACATAGCCAGCTTAGATGTTGTTTTGTATAGAGAATTAGTATTTGAAATTTTTGTGAAACACTTAATAAACCTGTAGACACTGTTTAATAGATTTTAAAAAATATTTTCTTTATTATTTTTCTTTTTTATGTGTATGAGTGTATTGCCTGCATGTAATGTCACCCATGTCATGCAAAACTGTGGAGGTCAGAAGAGGGCTTCAGATTCCCCTGGAACTGGAGTTAAGGATGGTTCGTAGCTGCCATGTGGGTGCTGGGAATCGAACCTGGGTCCTCTGCAAGAGCAGTTAGTGCTCTTAACCACTGAGCCATCTCTCCAGCCCCTGTTTAATAGATTTTAAAATAATTAGGGTACCTGTTTATAAGGCCTTTGAACGTATCATCAAAATTTATAAATTTGTACACGTGTATTTTGATTAGGCATGTCAAAAGTAAAATGAATACTTCTTGTGTACAATAAAACAGTGAGAAAGGGAGAATGAACTAAAGAGATCAAAGTTCAAAAATTGTTTTGACACAGTACATGAAAACAATTTTCACAGACACATATAACACAATCACTTGAAATTGAGGTGTACCAAAGACTAGAATACAGAAAGGTTATGTCTCTGGTTTTTTAATATTTAAAAGCCTTAGTGGTGTAAAAGGAAGGTTAAGTTTGTCATATAGATTTGAAGTAGAATTTTTTTTCTTCCGAATAACCATTTAAGAACCCTTTCAATACCTCACAGGGAACACATGGACAAAGAAAAGTAACTAGGCAAGGCAGATTTTACTTTTATATAAAGATGTTTAAAGGAATCTGGTTAAAGAGAGACAAGCTCAGCTGTTCTAGACCATCAGGTTCAGGATGCATCAGGGCCTTCCCTGAACAAAAGTCTTACAAGGCATGCTAGGATTAAAAGATTAGAATTTCTTGTAATAAAGCAAGTTTTAAGTTTTACAGGTTTTGAAAGAGAAGACTAATATTTAATGTTTCTTACAGAAGGAGATGCCTTTACATATGAAACCCAACAAAGTTATAAGTTATTAGCGTAACTTAAATCAGAGGAGACAGGAAGGACGAAAAGGAGACATTAACAGTTTAGGTTAAGAATAAATAAAATTCAAGTAGTACTGAAAGTAATCCCATTTAGAAACAGGTTAAAATAATGTTAAAATTTAAACTCCCATTGTGGCATTACTTCCTTAGTCTGATATAAAAATGTATTGACCTTGTTATAAGACAGTAGAAGCTGTTAAAATCTGTTGCTTTTCTGTGATCTGATCAAGAATCCAAGATGAAAGTCAAAGCAAAAACTGCAAGAGGATTAGGACGTGTGATTGAACATCTGTGGTTTGTAGCCTCAAATGCCCTGAGGCAAGACAGTAAAATAGATAAAGTTTACCTGTACAATTCAGAGCACCTGTAAAAAATTCCACATGACCAAGAAATAAATAAGTTATTAGAGTTTTGGGTCCTTAGTGAGCACCAAGATGGTATAGGGAGAAAGAGTGTCCCCTAAAGGTTTAAAAAATTTTTTTACTTATAAAAGAATTTACCAAAACAGAAGCTTTAGGACATAGGCATGATGTAATGTAGTTTTAGAGCCTGCATGGAGGTCAGATACGTGGTGGGGACTGGAAAGTTTTAGAGACAATTAAAGAAGTACAAGATGCGGGGCAACCTAAAGCATTAACAAAAGCAGGATTTAAATAAGGATATAAAGAGGAAATTTTTCTCTGAAAAATTTAGAAAAGCAGGTAGACTTACAGAGGCCTAAACATTTGAAGCTGGGTTTAGAAGCAGAACAAGAGTTACAGAAAGGAGAGAGGAGAAGGGTCTGGAGCATTTTTTCCTGTGCAGAGACTCCATAACTAGAGAGAGGAGGAGAGATAGCCTAGAATAAAGGATGTATGCAAAGGAGACCTAAAATTGGATAGAACAGTATCAGAAATCATCCCGAGCAAAGTCAGGAAGAAAGACACTGGACAAGGACAAAGACAGGGAGAACCATGGAAGACAGAACCTTCCAAGCCCATGGTAAAGGAAGGGAGAAGGAATGAGTCCCATTGGGCCCAGTGGGAAGCTCCAGGAGCTCCTGAACCACCTAAGTCTTAGTGGAGAGAGAGGGAGAGGAGAGAGAGAGAGAGAGAGAGAGAGAGAGAGAGAGAGAGAAGACATCCACAGCTCTGTGAGAGAGCACTTACCCAAACTCTGTCAGAGGGTGAGGAATGCAGATGGACTCTTAACCTTGGTCCTGATGTGATGAGTGGTGGGATCCGGCATAGGCAAGCTGGTTGGAGGAGTGCATGGTCAGCATCATGGTTTGGTAAGAGGGAACCGGGTCATAAATAACCCACTCATTCCTCTTCCTGGGTTTTGGCACCATTTGTTAGATAAAAGCGGGGCAGGGGATAGCCACAGAAAACACAGGAGGACTCCAGCAAAGCAAAGCTTATTTCTTAGGATTGCTGGTGGCTGGCAGCTCAGCTGGGGAGAGAAAGCAACCAGCGGCCTTGTGACTGCTGAGGAAGTTCTTATGGGAGGTTGGGGAATGTGGAAGGTGGCAAAATAATCTTTACAGTTCCAAGGGAAGTGGCTTGAACTGAGACAGCTCTTACATCAGTGGGTCTGGGTGCAGGGGCCTGTTCATCTTCTAAAATTATCTGGGGAACAGCTTTGTGCTAAGCTCTAAATGCAGGTGCCTGGCCACTTTCTGTTTTGCAAGGGGGCCCTCAGGGCCTGTCTTGTGAGGCTTTGCTGCACTGGGGGGTCCTCTGCAGACCTGGACTCTATAACAACTACACTTGACTATCACTGTATTTGTATAAATTCCCAACTCTCACATTTTTTCATATATTAAATCTTTTTTTTTTTTGGTCTTTTTGAGACAGGGTCTTCCTGTAATCCCAGCTGGCCTGGAACTCACCATGTAGACCAGGCTGGCCTTGAACTCACAGAGATCAGGCTGGTCTTGAACTCACAGAGATCTTCCTGCCTCTGCCTTCAGTGTGCTGGGACTTAAAGGCATGTGTGACCACACCCAGCACATATATTAAATCTTAATAAGTGTTTTCTTTTTTCTCTCCTCATGTGCAGATGGAACAAAGCTGGGCATGATGCTCATGCTTGTGAATCCCAGCACTTGAAAGTCTGAGGCTGGACAACTTTGCCTTTCGTCCGAGGTGAAGAAGTGCTATACAGTGAGACCCTGTCTCAACTCCTCTCCACTCCCTCCCCAAAAAGATGAAGCAGATGACCAGGAAGGCTGAGGATGAGTGGGATTTCAAGACAGAAAGCCAGTGTTCTGGAATTGGGCTCTGAGTGAGGTCACTGTGGGTCTGGGTGATAGGGGCAAGCCCTCAGTCAACAGGAACATCAGGCCGAGACACAAACCTCCATATAACTCCTGGATTCCCTGCTCAACTTGATCTCTCTTTGCTTGTAGTTTTTAGGGAGATAATTGAAAAATCCATTTTCTTTCTAGAAAATAAAATGCTGACTCAGAGTATGTAGTGGTCTGTTTTCTCTCCAACTCTCCGCCCAAATGCTCAGCACATTGAAAACCAAACCAAACCTCTCATGTGCTCACATGACTCTAGAAACCCAGCAGCTTGGATACTCAGGTGTGACAAGTCCTGAGTCTTCATTTCATACCTGTTCTGTGATGAGTTCCCACTGATGTATGCCAGCACCTAGCCCAGCAGCCAGCTATATAACTCCAGCTCTGCCCAGAATTCCTGCTGGAGGAACACAGTATCCAGCTGTGCCCTCCAACCGGGGTCGCCTTACATAGCCAGCCATTTCCTTGCCAGTAGAAATTCAGAAATGTTCTAAAGCTCCATGCTCGAGACCAAGGCTTCCTTTACTTTTTCTACTACTTATTTGTATTTGTGCTGGTGTGGGCCAGAGGTCAGCCTGGGTGTGGATTCTTTCCTTCCTTCCTTCCTTCCTTCCTTCCTTCCTTCCTTCCTTCCTTCCTTCCTTCCTTCCTTCCCTCCCTTGATGCCCGGGTACGGTTGCTAGGTACGGTTCTTTAAAAAAGAAAAAAACTGCCTTCCTTCCTTCCTTCCTCTTTTCTTCCTCTGTGTGTGTGTGTGTGTGTGTGTGTGTGTGTGTGTAGGGGTATATGTACATCAGTGCAGTACCTAAGGATGTGTCAGATCCCCTGGAGCTGCAGTTACTGATGGTTGTGAACCACTTGTCTAAGGTGCTGGAAAACAAACTTGGGTCCTTTGGAGAAGCAGTACACATTTTTAATCACTGAGCCATCTCTCCAGCTCCCTGTATTGACCATTTAAAGCCTCATCAGAGAGACTCTGATTAGCTGAGTTGTTTTTTTTTTTTTTTTTTTTTTTTTTGAGTAAAAAGAAGAAAGGACAGTTTTGCTGGGCATGGTGGCATGGTGGCACAGGCCCGTAATCCTAGTACTCAGGAGGCAGATGCAAGATATCAGGAGTTCAGGAGATGGCTCAGCAGTTAAAAACACTGGTTGTTCTTGCAGAAGACCTGGGTTCAAATCCCAGCACCCACATAACAGCTAACAACTGTCTGAAACTCTAGTTCCAGGGGATCCGACAGCCTCTTCTGTCCTCTGTGGACATGGCACGACACGGGTGCACTTACCTCCATACAGGCCATACATGCATACACATAAGATAAGAATAATAAATAAAATATATATTAAAAAAAATCAGGAGTTCAAACTAGCCAGGGCCGATGAGATCTTGCCTCAACAGCAAGTGAGCAAGTCACAAACAAACAAACAAACAAACAACAACAACAAGACAGCGTCTCTTTTTTTCTTTTGTTTTGTTTCATCTTGTAGCCCGGCCTGGACTTGAACTCCTGGTCCTCCCGCCACTCTCTCCTGAGTGCTTGCTTGAGATTATAGGTTGGTGCCATCATGCCTAGCTTTTTGTTTTGTTTTGCTTGTTTTTATTTTAATTTTATTTTTTATGTGTATTGAGTGTATTGCCTACATGTATGTAAGTGCACCATGTACGATGCTTGCAGTGGTCAGAAGAGGATATTAAATCCCCTGAAACTAGAGTTACAGACAGTTGTTAGCTGCCATGTGGGTCCTGGGAACTGAACCTGGGCCCTGTGAAAGAGCAGGCAGTGTTCTTAACTGCTGAGCCATTTCTCCAGCCCCTTGGTTTGGTTTTTGAGACTGGGTCTCTGGTGGCCCAGCCTCCCCTGGAACTCACTATGAACTTGAACTCTCTGATTTTCCAGCCTCTGTCTCCCACCAGAATTACAGGCTTCACTACCACACCCAGTGATTAATTGACAGCTTTTGCTGTGCTCAGGTAATTCCCCTGAGTACAGGGGAACCCAGCAACTGTTACCACAAGAGAGAACAGGTACAGGATGGTCAAACCCCAGAAAACATCCACTACACTCCCTTTTCATTTGTCTCTTATATTTCATTGTTCTTCCAAATAGCCCTAGTAGGGGTGACTAATGACTCTGCAAAGGTTTTAAAAATGATACATCAAAGTAAATCCATGTGGGGCTGGAGAGATGGCTCAGCAGCTAAGAGCACATGCCGCTCGTGCCCGGGACCCAGGTTTGGTTCCCAGCACCTACACTGCATGGCTCACAACTGCCAATAACTCCAGCTCCAGGGGATCTGATGCTTCTGGCCTCTGTGGGTACCTGTGCTCAACACACAGACACCCCCCACACACACGAAATAAAACAAATCTTGAAAAAAAGCATTAAAAATTTTTCATCTTTCCTGGTTTCTTTCCCAAGGAGAATGAGTGACAGAAAGGTATGGCTTTACTCACCCTCAGTGCTAACATATGGATTAAAGATCTCGTATGGAAATGACCATTTCAGAGTCTGTGTGCAGCAAGTCAATCAATCCTGTTCCCGCCGCCGTTGCTGCTCATGGCTGTGCCCTGGAGTGTCACACCAGCTCCCTAGAGCCAAGTGATGTCATATTGTAACTTAAAGGTTTATCATCATCACTATTACTACTATTACATGTATTTATTTGTGTGTGTGCTATGATATGTACGTGGAGGTCAGAGGACAACTTGTAGGAGTTGGCTTTCTTCTTCCACCGGCTGGGTTCCAGAGATTGAACCCAGGTCATCAGGTTTGGTGGCAAGCACCTTGGTTGGCCCGTCTTGCCAGCTCCTGGCTACTTGGAGTTGACCTTGGTAGGGGTGTTCACATCACAGAAATCAGAAACAAAGCAAATCAGGACTCTCCACCTGCAGCCCCTGCAGATGTTGAAATGTACTGGGCACCTTTGTTTCTACTCCTTTCTTTCCTTCAGAGATATGAGCAGGTCCTTGAACACTGTGGGCCACTTAGGAGATGTCAGCTGTGAGCAACATGGATAGTGGTTTCTCTGTAATGAGCTCTAAGCTCATTTCTCCCAGACAGAAACAAAGTCCAGATCAAGACAGCTGCTCCAGCTGTGGCCTCACTGTCTGCAAAGCCCAGTGTATTGATTCTTCTAAGATGGTTGCTGTAGCTCCACTTCCCGCCACTAGGTAACACAGGCTCCTTCCTATGAAGGTGGCTGACAGATAGGAGTAACTTACTGGTGTGTGCATTTGAAATGGGATGGAAGGAGGCTCTAACTCCTGTCTGGCTGCCAGGGAGGCTTGGAGAAGGTTGGACTGCAAGATTTAGGAACCTACAGGAAAGGTGAAGGTGTGTTGGTATGCTGGGAAGGAGGGGTGTCTGTGCTCAGGGAGACTTAGGAACCAGGCTAAGTAAATAAGGGGGAGGCTAAGTCTCAACGAGGGTCCAAGAAGGCGGAAAAAGGACTGTTTATCCATAGGCATTGAACTTTTTGAAGGCATTTTAGAATTTTAGCTGAACACATGTGTGCTGAGCCTGCTGGAGAGCGAAGAGTCACAGGAGACAGCAGGACAGTTGACTTCATGGTGCAAAGCGAGCCGGCTGGAGGGAGACAAGGCGGTGAGGCAGAAGACGTACACCAACAGCGTTCCCTAGGAGATGTGTTAGAGTGCATGGGGGGGGGGAAGATGGTGAGGGACACCAACAGCGTTCCCTAGGAGATGTGTTAGAGGGCATTGGGGGGGGGAAGTTGGTGAGGGACACCAACAGCGTTCCCTAGGAGATGTGCTAGAGTGCATGGGGGGGACAAGGTGGTGAGGGACACCAACAGCGCTCCCTAGGAGATGTGTTAGAATGCATGGGGGGGATAAGGTGGTGAGGGACACCAACAGCGTTCCCTAGGAGCTGTGTTAGAGTGCATGGGGGGGGGGAAGGTGGTGAGGGACACCAACAGCGTTCCCTAGGAGATGTGTTAGAATGCATGGGGGGGACAAGGCAGTGAGGGACACCAACAGCGTTCCCTAGGAGATGTGTTAGAATGCATGGGGAGGACAAGGTGGTGAGGGACACCAACAGCGTTCCCTAGGAGATGTGTTAGAATGCATGGGGAGGACAAGGTGGTGAGGGA